TCTATGAAAATGATTGAGAAGCTTGTTAACTATTATAATGCTGTAACACCAGCAACATCAACTTCCTTGCTTCCCTGAAAACCAGGATGGTCTCTTTTACCTGCCCTGCCCCATGGTTCACTATGAAATGCTGTTCCCTACAACTGGCCATCGTCTTGAAAGGCTCAACAAAAGATCTGGTCCTACTGTCCACCTAGAGGCTCTACTGCAAAATCCCCAGTGTTAAATTGAAACTAGAAAGTGTCTATATGTGTCAACAAAAGTGTTAAATTAACACTTTTCAGTGTTCAATTAACACTTTTGACAGTGTTATATTTCTAACAGTAACCTAGTCAGCGTTAAAGATTAACAGTGACTAACACTGAGCAGTGCTAATTTTCTATCACTGGAAAATAACTGAAAATGCTAGTAATATATCAGTGTTAGAAAAACAACACTGCTAATGTTAGTCATTGTTTCAGTCTTTAAGACTGACTAGGTTACTGTTAGAAGTATAACACTGTCAAAAGTGTTAATTTAACACTCAAAAGAGTGGATACATATGTCAATTTAACACTGGAGATTTTGCAGTGTAATAAAGATCATGTAAGGTCTTATAAAGCAGCTGTCTGTCAAGCCAGGACTCACTATTACTGTTACTCTACTAATACCCTAATTTGCCAATACCAAAGTCATCCTGGACTGCTGTTCCCCACCATCAACCAACTACTTGATCCACCTCAAGTGTCACTCTGACACAAGTTCCTGGACTCAAAGAAAAAGTTAACTTTATCTATCAGCACCTTCAAGATTTATCCAGGTCTTTATGATTTTAATAACCTCCTACAGTTTAACTATCTGGTATGTGTTATCTGATTTCGTGGATAGATAAAGTTAGGTATCATCTGCGTAGGAGTGAAAATGTTATTTTAACAATACTGCCTGGGAACGATGTATAAAGTAAACAGATTGAGTCCCAGCACAGAACCCTGTGGAACTCCATAATTAGCCAAACTAGACAAACTGGAGTCTATTAGATATGATTCAGTCGACTGCAGTGCAGTATCTTTAATACCTATGGCATGCTGTAGTCTATCAGACTTCTACAACAAGAACAGAGTCATATAAAAATCAAAACAAAAAAGCAATATAACACAAAGCAAAGCAACATAAGGGCGAAGAGCCTTAAGCACATCCACAAAAGGCAAGGTGATAGGGTAACAGAGAGATAGAGACGAGAAAGACATAATTTAAAGAAACAAAGAGAAAAGAAGTAACGGAAAGAGAGAAAAATGAAGCAAGGGGCACAAGAGACAAAGACATTTCTTTGAATTATATAATTTTTATAATTTTTCAGTAACCTTAAAACCCATTACTCTCATGAAGAACCATCGAAGTCATAATTTTTCAGATCAAACGTGTAGAATCAATGATTACCTCCAAAGCACAGCATAGCTATGGTAATGGCATATTTAGTTAGTAAACATAGCTTACTATAGATAGCATAACTGACTACTACCTAAAAATGACTTCAGTATATAAACAAAACACTTAATATATTAATTCTCTAAATATATAATAAAATTATTACTTATTCTAAAACACATTGCCTCCAATTTAAGAAAAAAGACTTTAGACATTTAAAATTAATTCAGATATTTCAACATTATTTAATTTCATTGGTATGCATGTGTACCAGGATACTGTACCAGCAGCTGAAATTGCAATTTGCAGCCTTCTTTGCTAGCCTATAGCAGGAGACCAGTTCCAACTCACCATCTCTATAAAAGCTGCAGGTAGGTTTCATTACAGGGTAAAATTAAAGATCTTTGATGTTACTGAGCTTTTACTTTGTTAACTTTTGCTGTTTAACTATGATATCCAGTAAAAATGAGCAGTAATCCTATTTTACAAGGATTATACCGTAAATCTAAAATTAAATTCTTTGACATCAAGCAGCATCAAGCCAGTGTAACGATGTCACACCTGATGTGATGAATTGTTCTGGATTTACTGTTTCTGAATGAGCTGCAATAAGTCTACTGAAGTTTGGCTTTTGCTGCATTTATGTTGACTGCAGCAGCACTACACTCTGATTTCTACCATTGTGGTTTCATAATGAGACATAACTGATTACAGGAGCTCTGTTAAGCCCTTGGTGATACGATTACTTCTGCTTGCTCACAGTGATGGAGATCAACAAACTGATAGAGACGGGGGAGCTGGAGGAGGCTCACCTGAACCTGCTCGCCCTGCGGCAGGAGTTTCAGCAGCAGCCACAGTCGTGCTCCGATGGCTCAGCTATGGAGCTGGCCACGAGGGAAAAAGATCTCAACCTCCTCTATGGAACAATGAGGGAAAAGGTCAGCAACATAGTGTGCGACTCCAACCCTCTCTCTGACAAAAACAAGAAGCTGCTGCTCCAAATGGCCCGCGTCATCCAGGAGGAAGAGAAGAGAGCAAGAGAACCAGGAGGCCTGAAAGACAGCTGGATGGACGCTTGGAGGGAATCGGTTAGTGTGGGTGTGCAGGTGAAGGTGCAGAGTGTTCACTTGGACAGAGTAGAGCAGAACTCCGCCTGGTTAGCTGTTCACTTGGGTCTGTTGGGTAAAGTCATTGTGGAGGACTTGGAGAATGTGAAGCAGGAACTGCGGTGGTCCTACCCACCCAGTTTTAAAGTCTTCAGCACCTATGTGAGAGGTTATAACAGAGTCGTTGCACAGCACCTGAAGAAGCTGGAGCAGCAGGTGACGGAGCTGAAGGATTTCTATGGTCTGCTGGACTGGATCATCAACAAGTACAAGAGGTGAGTGGGTAGATTGTTCAAATAGGGCTGTTGTTTTTCCTCAAGGACACCTCTCAAAGGAATTTCCTATTCAGCCAAAACAGCATATAAATAGATGGAGACAAGAATGAAATGAACTCTTGTGCATTATATTTCACTTTTTAGAATGATGTTAAACAGTATTTACTATTTATTGTGGTGTGATCACAAAAACTGGCATGCAGTTACTTATTGTAATGTAGTTTTGTAATGTAATTTCTTCTCTGATGCTGTACAGCTTCAAAAGCGTTCAGTCGTCTTTGTCTAACGTGACATTTGTCATTAGCCTTGCAAACATAGTTTGTTGAAAGCAGCTACAAAATTGAGTACCCTATAAACAATCGTTATGCATCATTTTAGCCAGTCACACATTGCACTGTTGACAGACTGTACTTTACTTTATTTTGTTAGCATTTGTGTGTCATTCTTACTGTAAGCACTTATTGTAAAACTTTGTAGGGGTGTGGAGTGCGATCATGTTAACGATCCATTAAAATTTGGCATACATCCACTTTCAAAGTCAAGTTAATGATTTATTGGTGGAAAATTGACAAAGAGCCTTAAAATGTAAAAACTATGATCTTACATGTATATGTATTGTCAAATATAGAAAATAATGTATAAAGATTTTAAATATCATGTCACATTTGACCTCTGACCTCTCCTTTAAGGCCAATTGATAGGCCAAAGTGATAATAATGCTATATAGATTTATTTAAAACTATGCTTTCTTTTTATTATTAAATAAAAAAAAAATTAAAGTCATTGTTTCAATAAAGCTCTAGATCTGTTGTCGAAAAAGGACAAGCAGCAAAAGTGGTCAGATGATGGATACATTTCCTGTCATGGTTCTCTGTGTGGCAGGCAGTGATTGGACCCAAACGCAGGACTCTCAGATGGTATTTTTAACTTAAAGGCAGCAGCTTTTATTTGCAAAACAAACTGAAAAACACAATACACGAGCACTACAAATAAAATTAAAACTCAAACTAGGATGACTGACCTAAACTGGGAGTTCATGAACTGTAAATAGCACTGAAACCAGCAGACTAGAAATCCTAACTAATGAATTCAAAAGACTATATAATAATTCAAAATACACAACACAATGGGTCATCGATCCAGGACCGTGACATATCCAGTAAGTGCACAACCCATCCTACCACAAATGAAAGGAGCTTTTTTAAAAATATGTTACATATTAAAATGCTTTTTTATTTCATGATTGCAGCCAGTAAAAAAAAAATCACCAACATTGTGTTTCCTCAGGTTTGAAACCTAGAAAACTGTGAAAAACTTGTGGTGTTGCATCTGAAAGCTGTGGGTGTTTGTTGGGCAGTGAAGGTCAGGAAAGCTCAGCTCTACAAGTCTCCATATTTCAGTAACTCTGCCTCTGCTGCTGTGATTTAGGCTATTCTTTATAGTTTTTTATGAATCTCCCATCATTATGTTAGTGTGGTGAAGAGAATAAGTGAAGTCAGGTGTTTTTGGGAATATACACAGAATACAGAACATGTATTTTGTGATTTAAATTGAATTCAGATAGCCTTTGTAATGATTGCATACAGCAAACAGAGACAGATGGTATGCAATAAACTCCTCAGTCGGATTCTTTGAAGGCTTGATGTGTTATGCAAACATTATAAAAGGGAAAAGTATGTCTGCATGTCCTCCTGCAGCTTTTTTATCATCTCAGATTTACAGGGGAAACGCACCTAAAATCACATCTTCACTCTCCACATAAAAATGTGTTCACACATGGTGCAGACAGCCGTTTTAATAATACCCAACACAAAAGCAGGACTGCAGCTCCACAGTGAGCGTGAGTGAGGTAGGCAGTGCTGACATTATTTGTTGAATCAGGGCATGGGAAACATAAAAAAACTGTGCTCAGAACAACATTTGGGAGTCCAAAAATAAACAGCTGATATGATAAAAAGCACAACACTCTCGAGGCCAAAATGGGAAAAATAAAATCAGGTCACGACCACATTTTTCACAGATTATGTAAAATAGGATCCTCTTCATAAAGCATATCGTGCACAGACCATAATGTAACATGGTTTTCATAAAGCAAATACACTCATTTAATATTGCATTGCAGTGTGCAAAGGACTACTGTATATATTTAATTGGATTTTATTTTAGATTTTTTTAAACATTTTAATTTCAGTTTCCTTCATACAACATCACAGGTAGGAAAATGTATTTTGGCCGATCTTATTACCACAAAATGTTGTGAACTGCATCTTGTTTCACTCCAACAGTGAGAGGATCATGGGAAGTCTGTCTCTGCAGCCAGACATCCAAGATGAAAGCACTGATCTGCAGCTTGAGGAGAACTTCCTGAAACAAGTGAAAGAGAAGTACTGCAGGAGAATGCAGGTGAGGCGCTCACACTGAGCTCACAAAATACAGAGTTTTAAATGCGTTTCTTGTTGGAATTTCTTCCATAGATGAAATTTTAGTCTTTCATGTTGTTATTCTTTGTGTAATTATGAGGATGAGTCGAATCAAAAGACCATTGAGATATTATGAAGCACACACTTCATCACTATATGTCTTTATTATGCCTCACTTTAAGAATAATGTCACGTTAAAAGATCTGCTAACTGGTTTCGTGACTTTCATGACCTAAACTGAGCTTACTTGACATGAATCAATTATGTATAATTGATTCATTGGTTTGTGGATTACCATTTGTGTTTGCTTTAGCTGTCTTGGCTTTTATGACCTGGGTAAAACTTCTGAAGGGTTAGGGTCGATGTGTGGATAGATGGATGGATTGGTGGATGAATGGAAACCATGGAAAGAGAGGTTAGGTTGAAAGCGAATGCTAGCTAGCTGGGTTAGCATAGTGAGCCCATACACACAGACTCAGATACCAAATTATCAATTGCGTAGATATAGATACCTAATTAGTGCTAGCATATACATTCAGCAAGATAGTACACTGAAAAAAACCCACATAAAATCCACCACACTCACAAACCAGTGTATGATGTCACAGTAGCTAAGTCGCCATCAAGTGGTTATTTCTAGAAATGCAGTTTTTGCTAAATGGCTTGCATATGTGAAGGAACACAAGGTGTCTGTCGCTAGGTATTTTCTGCTGTTGTTTTCTTCTAAAGTTGAATAATTTGGGGGAATATGCATTAAAAGTCTAAATATTTAAAGAGAGATTGTTTTGAAGAAATGTAACAGAGTGCTATCAATCTGTCTACCTGCCAGATAGCCTCTCAGTAATGATGGGATAAGTTGCAGTAAACGTCCAACATTCAATCAGATTAGAAGTTTAGTGATTAACTTGGTTACATGATGTCAGTGACTACAGGGCAGAGGTTTGTTTGGTTTTACAGCTTTCACATTCATGCCATAAAACACATTTACAGTTTGAGCACATTGATGTTGAACCAGCTACAATCTTGCCTTCAGAATAACATCAGGTCGTTAGTAGTAATAGTAGTCGTAGTTGCAAGTTTTCAGTTCACAGTCTGATGCACAGTACTGTTAAACTTCCAGTTAAAGACACGTAAAACAATAAAACCTTGGTAGGAATCAAGCAGTTTCTTCAACAGATTGTTTAAAATCATTATCCAAGTTGCTGTGATCACAACTTAGTCACATAACCAAAACATGAGTATACAACATAGTACAACGAAAGCCTTTGATTTATTTTCTCGAAGTGCGTCAAACCCATTGACATGGTAATAAAACAAGATCACAGATAACTGAGCACATTATCAGTGTAAGTTTTTTTTACCAGTGCTTGTTATTTATGTTACTGAAAAAACATATTCCTTGCTTATTGTATTTAACAGTTATTTTTTTTACTAGTGAAAAACACAAAGATATTCACTGTACTTGCATATAAGAAAAGAAAATACTCAAAGCATCAGTTTTGAGTGGTTACACCCAGCAAATGTTTGACTAATGGTTTCATTTCTGATATAGTTCTCAGAAGAGATGTTGCCACGAGTTGCTGAAACAGCTGTTTTGCTGGCACTTTAATGCTGACTTCCACTCTGCTTGGCTCTTCCTGCAGGAGGAACTGAGGATGATACAGGGCAGAGTCATTGAACTTGAAAATGAAGAGGTGTGGAAGGATGGCAAGGCTCCTAAAAAGGAGGACAACTTCCCCATTTCTTCATTTCCCATTGACATCCTAACGGTACTTATTGAAATATCACCTAATGCACATAATGGGTACATGCTAAACACATCAAACCCATCAGATACAGATAAAATCTCACATTTATTTATTTATTTACATTAGTGAAGATTTCTTTGCCAACAGATTTTTTTTGTAATCCTCCAGGTTGCAATGTAGTGTTTTCACCATAGGGTGGCAGCACATAACTTCTGTTTCCTTACACCGCGTACCAGCTCGTTTTTTTCTCAACAGAGCGTGAAATCGTTTGTTTTAAACTCCATCAAACTTGATGCTCAGCTGGAAAAGAAAGTGGTTTCTTCCTGCCTCGAGGAGTTGAAACAGTTCCCAAATGGGTATGGCAACACAGAGACAACACATCTATCTATCCATGTAGACATTTAACAGGCCACATTACCACAGGAATCTCAGTGGAAAACTTTCACTCCACCCTTCTGGAAGCAAGCTGATTTTACTCTTATCTTAGTGGCTTCAAAATAAACTCCAGATTGATGATGCCGTGTTGTAATCTGAGAATTATTTTTTGAGACTGAGCATAGGCATTAAAGTGAGTCACAAATATATAGATGGTTTTCTGTCTGATTACCATGACATGTAGTGCAGATGTTGTGTAAATCCATGTCTTTGATCAGTGGTGGCATTTTCAATCATTCTGTTAGAGCTGAGGTTTTTCTGGAACTTTGGTCGCTATTCTGACTCTTCTCATTAAAATGAAAAGTACCATGAAAATTCAAAACTCTTCATATCTTTGGAAGTGAACAAAGTTCCAAATTCAGCAAGGGATCAACCACTTATTTCCCCCACTGTACACATGGCGAGGGTGGGATCAAAAGTGTTATGGCCACAACAAGAGAACAGCGAAAACAACTGGATTAAAATAACTTGTGATAAAGAACTGAGATGAGGAAGAGGAAAGCATCCACCTAAAAAAACAAACAAATAAAAAATCAGGACGCTGACCTTTTTGCAGTGATCAGACAGTAATGTTATGTTATGTTATGTTGAGCAATGCAAGAATATTCCCCTCGATTGGTCAGACAATCCTCTGAGGATCATGTGTTTGTCCCTATCCCACACAGTGTGTATAAGCAATCTCCCTCCTCCATCTTCCCCTGCAGACATTCTACCCAAAATATAGCAGAAAAGAAACAAAACATAATCAAAATAAAGGATTATACACCAGAATTAATCAGTGAAAAGGAAATAACAAGACTCCCACACAAAACTTGGGAAACCATTTTGTTAGGAGATGACTTGTGCACATGTGCTGTCATGCTGAAACAGAAAAGATCTTTTATTTACTTGGAGCTGCGAAGCTGATGGAAAACTTTCTGCATCGTGCAGCTATGACTTTTCAGCCTTTCTGCAAATCCCCCTAGTGTATTTATGGTTAATAAATAACCTTTCTTTGCACTTTTGCACATTTTAACAACACTTCTTATGCATTCATTATTTTAAACATCACTTTTTCCTGTTATCTTTCCATCCCCCTTGGAGGGTTTCTGTTTCCTATAAAGTCTGTAACTTTGCTTTTTAACAAAATGTCACAAAATGTTATTTTTTTAAACCCCTGTGATTTATCTGGCTTGTTTAACTCTGTCCGCCTCATCTTTTGACTGAAGCTTCTTCTTTCCTCTGCAGGTTTGAAAAAGCGTTCAGCCAGCATTGCACCTCTCACCAGCCTTTGTGGACAGAGTATCGCATTACATACATTAACAGCTTTGCTTCTTTAAAGTAAGTCACGTGACTTCCTGAAAACATCCACGAATGCCCTGCCAGAGTTAGCATGTCGTGACACGGTTATCTAGAGGGTTGTCTCCACATTTTTCCCCCCCAATAAATCTGTCAGCACATTCATCTCGTGTGGATTTAGAGACAGGATGGATTTATGAACAATTTTAATTAAAACAAAATGCACCAGGGTGCTATTTAGTACCAATTTTTTGATTACAAAAAGCATGCAAAATATGAAAGGTAAGGGAATGAAAGGTATATTACCTAAAGTCAGAAAAAGCATTACAATTTATCTCAAGAAAACCAAAAGTGTGACGAACGTGACTGCCAGTAGGTTCTGAATATGTATTACCCATCCTCTGAAAACAATATGTGTATTGCTCATTGTAACAAAGCTGTTTAATGTTTAGAGCTGTAACAGAGAATCTATTCTGTCATTCTCTTTATTCAAGTTTTTGAAATGAATCAAAAAATCGAATGTAGAAAGCAGACTTGAGCGGAAGTTCATGGTTGTCTTTTGCTTGGATGAGTCATCTCGCAGATATTCAGCTCTGACATATGTCTGCCAGGACAGTAATTCTGTTGTGCGCCACGACTGCTGACTCTCACAAGTGTGGGAGTTCTTTGGATGGGACAGCAGAGGCTTTTATATGCCAGAGCAAAAAGAGATCCACTCAGACATAAATACAAGCCTTAGAGAGCACGTGATTTCAGAGAAGCAGGGCTCTGAATGTGAAACGCTGCTGTGGTATAATCGGGAGAAAGAGAAAGTACTGCGGGCACACCAGCTGCTTCTGTCACTCGCTGTGCTGGTTAGCTCAGTTTCTGCAGGGATATTTAATCAAGGTTCTAACACTTTATATTTATAGCTGCAGGTTAAACCTAGAGCCTATCCTAGCTTCCATAGGGCACAATGTGGGGTATACCCTGGACAGATTGGCTATATGTTCAGGGCGTATTTTCATGCTTAGTTTAGTTTTTGCTGTCATTTTGGTTAGCTGGGCTTTGCTTGATTTAATTACTGTTATCTCTTTTGTTACTGATCCTGCTGTGTTCATGTTTCTCCTGTCACTGCCTGTTTCTTTCCATATATGTACATGGAAGGACTGGGAAGGGAAATAGATGTAGTGCTAAAGTCTGTCTGGGAAATCTCATCAGACCTTTTGTTACGTTTAAACTAGGAAAGCCCTTCAGTATTCCTGTTTGAAAGCTTGATTCAGTACACACACTTTTCCTGCCCGTAGTGCCAGGGAAAACAAAAGGAAGTCTAGAAATATGCAGGGAACTGGAGACACATTAAGGGAAAAAACACACCGTGTCTGCCTTTGATAAAGTTAATTAAAAAAACAAAACAAAAAATAATAATTCAGCTCCACTGTATTGAGTTTTCTGCAGGAAGTTTAGGAGATGGCTTAATCAAAATGCCTAAACAGGCATTTTGATTAACAACAGTGAATAGCAGTGATAAAAAGACCTGATAGGACCACATTCAACATGTTACTGAAATAAAAGCATACGTCATATTGGCAGAGGTGTCCTCATTCTGCGGAGAATTCAGATCCTGGTGATATATAGAGTCTGTAAAAAGAGGAGGTTAGGATGAATGGCAAAAAAACCCCCAAAAAAACACAGACGGTAGAACCAAAGCCTGATCACACAATGGCTCCCTGGGCTTTCACATCATTATCATCATTGTAACCATGATTGTCGTCACCGTGCTGATGCCTTCGATGCATCGAGTAAAAATTTCAGATGAGTTTAAATCTCACTGAGGTCGAAATTGAGGTCATAGTTTTCTGGAAATCTTGTAAATCCAAAGAATGACGTCACCTGGGATGTTCACACTTACAGATACATCTGTTAGGAAGCTGAGGGGGTAGCAACTCTGTAGATAACCCTCTCAGGACACGCTGACTCTTTCAGAGTATTAAACAGGGAATGGGAAAAATAAAAAACAAAATATAAATAAAAATACACCAACCCTACCCTGTAAAAACATGCGAGTTACTTAAATGAATTGAGATGTGAAGTGTGAAGAGAAATATATCTCACGGTTTGCCCCAAAGTGCTTCATTAAAAAAAAAAGTGTAGAAAAATCGATTAAAAAACTGTAATTTTGAAAATACGTGTAACTTGTAGGTAGTATAAGACAGAAATAAACATGCAACATACTCAAGTAATTACTTAAAATTAATGTAAGCAAATGAGATGTGCTTCACCAGACTCACCGGTGCAGTTCTGATTGAAAATGTGGCAATATTATCACCATGCAACCTCATGATGATCATGTTTTTTTATTTGTTGTTGTTTTCTCCTGCAGGAAACACATGGAGGAGTACAAAGAAACCTGTGAAGATGGGGTGAACGGCTTTCAAAAAGCGGTAGATAGTTTGATTGACAAGCTTATGCGAGACCTGGAGGATCAGTTTAAAGAAGATGTCGAGGTACGGCAATCTAGTGAATCATATGTTGTACAGGATATAAAACTGAGGAAAGGGAATCTTCCCATTTAACTTTTTTTGTTATTTCCTTCCTCTTTGGAGCTACAGTAAAACAGGCCACCCAAACACATGAGATATCAACAAAAAGCCCAGAATCTCCTCTATTAAGTACATCAGGACTTAGTAGAATAGCTCACATAAGAAAAAAAAATAACAGATGTCCATTACAGAGGACTGGTTCTCAAGAGGATATGAGGTGAAATCCCTGTTCTGGTCCTCACTGATTCATTTCGTCACAGGGACAAACATTTTCTTTTGTGGTTTCTAAAAGAGGAATTAAAAGGGGGATCCTCCTTTCTTGCATTAATAGTCAAAAGCACTTAGGGAAAATTCACAGAGGATGACATAAAGGGCCAAACAGAGCAGCAGACAACACGCCAAGTTGCACCAATATTTGGACAAAAGGATGAAGATGGTAACTTATCAGCTAGTTAAATTCCAGTTATTTAGCAAAGTGTATCTGTGGCTGCACGAAGGAGGAAAACCGGTAACTAAATGGTGCAGACAGCGCCACCTGGGGAGGGAGTTACACCGCAGGAGAGATTACAGTAACCAGTGCAAACGTTGTGGGCACACAGGCTCATTACTAACGAGCAGAGGCGCGGCAAATCGATTTCATAGAACAAAGTTTAGACAAAACTACAAATATACACCTGCAGAAAAGAAAACAGCAACTTAAGCAGCAGGGCTGGCAATACCGAACCATTAATTAAGACACTTTATTAACAAACATTAGTTAAAAGAACAAGGTTCAATACCAGCCAACACGACAGCAACAAAACAACAACGAGGCTACAGGAACACAGCAGCAGTGTGCAGGCCTGGAACAACAGAAAAAAACAACCCTTTAACAGTTACACAGCTTAAACAATTGCCAGGGGAAATGAATCCAATCTATAATACTTAAAGACAGCCTGTGAATAACAGGAATGAGTGCACATTGCCAGGGACCAGGAGGAGGCCACAGCTGCTTCTTATAACCGGCCTCTGATTAACCCCTAAGAGGGGTGAATGTTCATGCTGCGTTTGCTGACACCATGCATGAACCAAACATCTCCTACCAAATCTAACCAACTGCATACTTATTATTCACAACTATACTAGATGCTATGAGTGTTTAGACCAAAAACGTTTGGTATTGTGGAAAGTTTTAGTATATTCAAAGACACAAACACATGCAGAATGACCGCCTAAGTAAGCGTAAGAGTATTTTCCTAAAACTTTTCTCCAGATGTTATGTCTTTAAAGTGGGAAGTAACTTTCCCGAAACATTCAAAGATACAAGGAAGTATGATATAAGCTAAATCCAGATGTTTGGCTTACATGCTGTTCAGTTCTACAGTTGTACCATTCTAATCAGCTTGGAAGTCAATATCTGGTATGATTGCTGTTATTTTCAACACAGCCTGAACTCTCACTCTCACTGTTAGCCTTTAAAAAGTCTTCAGGAATAGTTTTACAGACTTCTTGAACAATACTTAAATGCTCTTTAAGATGTTGACTTATCTTTGGTATTTTTTAACTAAAACTAAAGTGCAGACAGTTGCCTTTTTGTGTTCCTTTGTAAGTTGTTTGCTACGTGTAGCCACAACCATGGTTCATTCGTTGAGTTAGGTTTCTTTTTTATGCTTGAATGATTCATAGGTCAGTGTTAAGAGGCTGGAGGACTGGACTAAAAATGAGGGAAAACACAGATAATGGCCAAAGAAAAAGACTTTCTGAAAGCGTGGAGAAAAATTACTTAATACTAGTCTGGCTCCTTCAAAACAAAATTTTGGACTTTTGCACATTACTTTGTCTGTGAAGGTTCTCAGTCATCCAGGTCATCGTAGTCTAAGGAGCTTGGAAAGAAAAGCGTCTGGACTTC